CCGAAGTATGCTCCGGGATCCTGCCCATAGGTGCCGCCAGCCCGAACTGCGAGGGCGACAGACCACCAATTTCCATCGGCATCCTGGAACAAATCTGCGTGCCCAACAGCTTGGAAGTAAGAGGTAGTATCGTTTGCAGAAGTCAACAGTGGGTTTGCCGGTGCTGGATCGTAAGGTCCCTCTAGGCTCTTGGATCGAGCCATTGTGACCATGTGATTTTCACGGGTGCCACCTTCAGCAAGGAGTAGATAGTACCACCCATCACGCTTCCAGATGTGAGGTGCCTCGGGAGACCGCCCGCCAGTACCATTCCAGGGCATGATGATGTCTCCGATCTCTCCGGTCTCCAGATCGAGCGGCGCGTGCATTATACCTGGGTAGTACGCGGCTGTGTGCGCACCCGAGACGTACGTCTTGCCGTCATCGTCCCAAAACGGTGACGGGTCGAATCCGGGGAAGCTGAAGTGAACGGGATCCGACCAAGAATCTGAGCTGTATGGGTCGGTTGATGTGAGGATAAAGTTGTCCCAACGACTGTCATTCGTTCTCGGGAGTTGCTGATTTACAAGAGTACATAAAAGGTAGAAGATGCCCTCATGGAATCGCAATGTGGGTGCGTAGATGCCGCTAGTTGCCTTTGGCAGAAAAGCTAGACCTGGCAGCTGGTCTGCTCGACTGAATGCGTTGGAAACATGCTTCCAGTGCACCAGGTCTCGACTTGCGTGGATGGGTAGGCCAGGGAAAACCAGGAAACTGGACGTGACACAGAAGAAGGTATTGTTCAAATTCGGAACAAAGATGCAGCTGGGGTCAGGGTTGAAGCCGCTAATGATGGGGTTTTGAAAGGTTGAGTTCTCAGCTCGGACAACTCCGAAGAGGGCTATTGCTAAAGCTAGGAGTCCGGACTTCATGATGAAAAAGCTAGCAAACTACCAGGCTCTTTGGCAAGTAATTATGAGCTGGTCATCATGTTATTATGGCTTTCAAGGGCCCGTAACTCAGGTAACCCCGCAGCGCTCATGGAAAACCTGCATCGTTCTGGAGTCGATTTCCACACCACGGAAGAAATCCTAGCAGCGGTCGAAAGTCGTTCACAAGATCGCGGGCAACGGTGCGGCGCTTTTCCGAGAGACCGGCGCCGTGGAAACCCCTACACGGAGAATTGTGGCTTTAGCCTAAAATCCCGAAGCACCGATCTTGTCATGTTGAGCTCCAAGTCAACTGCGGGGGAGATGCAGGATCACCAAGGCCAAGACCGGGGGAGTTGGAGCCATGACGCATTTCCGTCATCACCTTCGCTCTCAGTGGAAGCGAGCTATTTGCTTGGTTCGAGATAGCACTTGCATATCCGATGCAGTTTTCAATCAGCATGGGTTGCGCCGGAAGCATTACCAACGTTATCATTTGTCTGCGTCTAATAACCTGTTCACCCTTTCTATGCTACCTTGCGCTTGACGGCTCCTCTCTTACCTCCTAACTAGAACTTCCGAAAGCCAAGCTGCAAAGCTCCTCTTTATGTCTTCACTGCTTCTCGGCACTGCTTCAGACCTTTGCGCTGTTTACCATTCTCGTCAAAGTTTTCTTCGCTCAACCATGTTTCCAGGCCGGCTTTGACTACTGGCCACTCATCATCTGTGATGCTGAACCAAGCTGTATCTCTACATCTTCCCTTGGCGACCATGTGCTTTCTGCCGGTTGTCAGTCCTTGACCGAGAATAGTTTTCATTAAACTCTTACCTGAAAATGCCTTCATAAGTATATCCTAACCGCGCAGCAGCTGCGAGACTCGGCTTGTTCAAATGATTGGCCTTCCATTCGAGTCTGTAGTTGCCCAGGCCCTCGAAAGCATTCTTCATGAGAAGGTACTGGGCCTCAGTGGCGGCACGCGTCTGCTTCAGATGCTCACTGAAAATTATGCATCCAATCTCGATACGTCTATGAGCCGGAACAATGGAGAGATATGCCATCACACCCACTGGCTCGGATGATGAATCCGATGCTGGGCCGGATAATACAGTGAAGTACAACGGGTCTTTGGAGACGCTCCACTCCTCGAAAGCTGCCTCACATTCTTCGATCTCGAGAAAAGGCTCATTGAAAAGGTATGTCCAGCGCCAAGCGTTTTCTTCTCGGCCGAGGTGCTTGAAGATAGCCTGCGCATGCGATGGTTGCAACGGGACCACGGAGGTGTATCGGCCGTGGAGCGGGGTATGGGACGGAGCCGTTGCCGGGTCGGCGGAGGCTACGAGAGGTCCAACGGGAGGGTCCATGGTTCTGGTAGGTCTTGGTAATGAAGGCCTAATTTGCCAAGTTTTTGTCAATGTTTGCAACGTTTCCGATGTTCAGATCAAGATTCAAATATACATATGTGCTCTGAACGATGACTCAGGGAGTCACGGATGGAGATCCTTCACAGCACGACAACTTCGGCGCGAAGTGGGGCGACCGGCCCGGTCACAGGGAAGACACGCCAAATACGCCGGATACGCGCAACTTCAATGCAGGATTATTGATCTCGGTGATATAAGACCAGTGCACTGACGAAAATGGACTGTCAGACGGTACTTTTACCTCGATTTGACAACAACAAAGTTGTCAGGCGCTACAAAATTGTGTGCGGGCTTTGACCAGTTGAAAAAGTGCAATTCAGCGACTGATATGATCTCATCGAGTGGGGAATTCATCAGGAGCAGACACGGCTCGATAATTTACCAATGAAACTACGGTAATATCTCGAAGTGTCTGTATGGATGTGGTCTGCTTCATTGATTGTTTTGAAGTATCCATTTGTTAGAAATCCGAGGTGACGCGTTAGCTTCAGCCGTCGTCTTCGCTCGATTTGTGAACTTTTGTTCCTCCACTCACCTTCTTCATGTGAAGGGTTACTGCTAAGCATACAAGAGGTCGAAACCAGTTCATATCGAAGGGTTATGTAACACCCAGAACATCACATACGCCAGTAACGCTCTGGAACCCAAGGGACTAAGTTATTCGTCCCAGCAACAGGTGATGTTGCCAAGTACTGCCACTCTTCATGCGCCAATTACATCTATACAACGCCACTAAGCTTCCGCACATGCTGACTAGAGTTCTTGATATGCTTATTTGATATCACAAGTGGGTTCCAATTGATGGCGAGAAGCAAGGTTGAAGAGTCTTGGCCGGGTGGCTTTCACTTTCTGTTCTTCCTTGCTTAGGGGCAAGGGGGCCCTGTTTCCTCCACCTAAACCGATCAGACGAATTGAATCTCAGATAATATGACGAGTGCAAGACTAGAAAGACCTGATCCAACGTAATTGGTTCCATTGAAGGAACCAAGGCTCGATCAGGCTACTGACTTGCGTTGTTATGGCGGGTGCCAGAGTTCGGAACAGAAAGAATCATGGGCAAATTGTTTGAAGGTCAATTCTCGTATTCGGTCAGCGTCACAGCGGATGCTACCATTCTTGAAGCTCGCAGGATAATATCAAAACGTCGGTCGGCCGCCTGCTAGCTCAAACTAAGACGTAAGCGACGGGACTTTGGTTCAATGGTTCTTGGCGTTAACTTCTAAACTACTTCATGGATCACTTTCCGTGGCCGATCGGCCACCTAAGTAGTGAAAATTTGACGCATAGTGAAGACGGCCGATCAAAGAGTCAGGTCAGTCTGACGACCTCGTTTACGCAAGGTCATGGCACAGTGAATCATGCAGAGACGTAAGCTTCCCATACTGAGCTCCAGTACCAGAGGAGGCACGGCCTATCCAGCGATGATACATTGAGTTATCGTGCCAATGCCAATGCCAACTCCATGTAGCAATCGAGAAGACCATGGCGAGAGACACGAGTATTCAGTATGGCAGGTTTTTCGTGTTGCCACATGTTTTGATTCCATACTGGAGCTAACGACTATATAAACCCTAGGCACCTACTGCCTGAAGTCGATCATAAACTACCCTTCACACACAGATCTCTAAACACAGCTTCCAGACAGTCCTTTCACAATGGTCCAAATCGCCCTTTCTTCAGTCACTTTGCTCTTCCTGGTGGCTCTCGCAGCTGCTTCTCCTGCTCCTCTTGTAAACTCTCGGGATGCAGTTGCTGTGGGTGACTGGTCCTGGGAACATTGGGTTGAGACAATCATTGCCGACCCTGAAAGCGCTTTATCCGTCGACGAAGCCCTTGAAGCTGCGGCCAAATCCGCAGCGGCTCACGAAGGTAAATCTTTTATCCCCATTAATTGTCTCTACCTGAATGTCAATGTTGGGTGTATGCATGCTAACATTACATTTGTAGATGGCTCACTTGATAAGAGACAGGAGCAGTTTCTCGTATGCAACGATGGCAAGCCTTCCGCTTGGGTATGTGAAGCTCGGTGACCTTCATTGAATAGGAAGTCAAGACTAACACTCCATAGGCACCTGATGCTGTGACGTGTATTAACTACCTTGCCGGTCTCAACGCAAATTGCGGGACTAGAACAGCGACGGCGATGTGTACCGCTGGTAATGCGCAAATTGTTGGAAGTGGCAGTGGAGCTGGAGAAGTGAGCACCAACTGGTATGTTGAATTCAGTCTCTTAGTTCAAAAGATCCGTATAGATGGGACTAACTCTCTTCGCCATCCAGTAACAACGTTGCCCGCACTGCTGGACGCATCATGGATCGCTGCTGGAGATCCGACAACACCGTTCAGGGAGGCATGCCGGCTTACGAACAAGGCGCCATGTGGGTTTACGTCTCAGCTCCTCTGATTTGATTCAGACATCGATGCGATGGCCACGGGAGTGCTTTCAATGGCACATGAATGTGGCAAAATCTTGGAATTCGGCTGCCCCCAATGGCTTTTCCGTCCTGGGTTTGATAGACATAATCTCACAACCTACTACGCCAGCACCTACTGTGCTCGTACAAGATAATCAATACAAAGCTAGTGTGAAGCATGTTCCCTTTTATGTCGTCTGAGTGAACTTAGTTCACAGGTCCTTTGGGTCATGAGATGATGGACGTAACTCGTTGCTTAATACGCGGCCCTCCACTCCATCTTCTGTTCCACCACGCCAGTTTTGCCGGAGACGTAATCCAGATACCCTTTGTAGTAAGCCAAGGGCGCGAAATTCTCCTTGAAACTTGCCTCATAGATCTCGCCAACAACATCAGTCATGGATCCATCAGACTTGCACTTCAGTAAACATCTTCATCGCGAGTCAAGTCAGCCAACTAAATCAAGATGGCCTACTAAGGGAATGACTGAGTAAAAAGGTCCGAAACTCAAGAGATTTCACTCACGCTTGCCACCTTCCCTTTCCCTTCAGGATATCTCTCATGTGATATGTGTTCCTTTCGCAGATCGCCATGCATAGAATTGATTTGGTCCAAGGGTATGTTCCTTGGGGGTTGAGACCCGCCCAGGGGAATGCTCCAGGCTTTGATCTGGCGCGGATGCTACTTGAAAAGGTTTGGCGTGTCCTGTCATCCATCAGTACCTCTTCTGTGTTATCTCGTATATTCAGAAAGGTGACTCACCTGAAGGCAATCCTTGGCTTGTTCCCATCCACTTTGTTGCCGACATGCGGCCTTACGGTGGAGTTTTTAGCAACAAAAGTTTCGACTCGTTCCTTGCGCAATTCTTGGGTCTCAGGAGAAAACGACTTTCGAGTGTCAGTAATGAGAACAGGGTTTCCAAACTTTTCAGTAAGTAGAGTCCGGTTGATTGGCATCGCGAATCTGTAGAAACTGAATTTGGAGCCCGGGTAGGACGTAAGGGTTCGTGATTCGGCTATGGCAGGTGCTGCCTCTACAAGGCCAATCGCTACGACGAGTAAAAGGAGTCCTGCTAGTTGAGAGAATATGGAATTCATCTTGAGATGTCTGGCGGTGGTGGTGCTAGGAGAGCTAGAGATGCATCACACAAGTACGTAAGCTTTCATATGAGTTTCGAGATGGGCTGACTCTGTTTCTCAGACTAATCAAAGATGCCTACGCAGGGTCCTTATGCAGACTTATATCGTCGAGGAACAAGCTAATGCAACTGGAGTGCACACTCCGCATCTGGAGTTTCCACTTCAGCCTCCAAACTTGAAAGAGCATACGTAGGTAGGAGGCAAGGGCCCGATCGTTCGAGTGGGAGAGTCAAGGGAGAAACACCTGAAAGAACACATGCGCCCTCATCTCCCATGTACGGCGCTCAGTGCCAAAGCCGTGTTATGCGGAGCAAAATCGCAGGGAAGCCTTTGTAGCACATAGGCGTACCTGGATACTCGGCGTCATCCGAGGATCTCGTCGCCGAGGTCCTAAGAAATGTACAAAAAGTCCCGACTCAGGAGGCGGAGAAGTGCCCCTGGGGTGGCCCCGACATCGTCGACTCGCCCGATCGAGGCAATGCTGAAGGAAGCCATATGAGGACTAAGCCGTTGTCAGGTGCTGTACTGTGTAAGTATGTCACACAACCTATTCCCTTGCTACCTATGGGTAAAGAGACTCATCCGCCCAGCGTTGATTGCTGTTGTACCATGCTGAGTTTGGGGCTCACCCAAGTTCCCTTGTAACTTGACACTAAAGCATCTGTGGCACCACGAAATGCTGACGTCTTTAAGCGGCAACTGCCTCTAACCCTTTATACCTCACCTTGGGTAAGTCAAGGTCAATTCATCACTGATACAAAGAAGTTGCATGGCCTGCATTGCACGCAAATACTAAAGAGCGAACATCTTGCTCTCTCTTAGTACTTGATTCTCTTCCCCTTTCCCAAATCCCTAATTATTCACTTATCCAGTCGTTCCCTCGTTGCCCGTCATGAAAACCATCCAGTCTCTACTTATAGCGACCATCTTCGCTTTTGATCCAACAGTACTTGCCGAATGTAACAAGAACGGCATGACAGGCGAATACGACGTTAACAACAACACCCCAGTCGACTTGAGAATCGTGTGCGCTCAGCTATCGGGCAGCTATGTAAAGAATGAATTCCGCCGAATCTGCATCATGGATACGAAGGGTAGAAAGTGGGATTTTGAGCTTTCGGTAAGACAGAGATCAAGTCGTGTTTCGTTCCTTCTGCATCTTCATCTCGTATGAATGATGGAAGGAATTCTTCCTGACTCTATTTTATCGCTGACGTAGCGCTAGTATATCGGGAATGGTGACCAACGCGACATCGATATAGAAGAATGCTATAGCGGCATGAAGGCAGAGGCCGGCTGCGAGCGCGGCGGCCGGAGGAAGTATTGGAATTGGGAATACTCGTGAGTTTTCCCAAACGGGCTCGCATCTTTGCTAGAAAGATCCAATAGATTTCTGACCATGGAGACTTTCCAGGGCGGATCCAAACGTCGGGCAATGTGTGAATATGCACCCGTACGACTTTGCAAGACCATTCGACGACCAGTAGGGAAGGGACGATGGCCGGGTGTAAGGCTATCTAGGGACCCCCAAGTCCAATCCTGTCACCAGCCAGGAGGCGCCCGTCTAGGTCGACGGGTCAGGTCAAACTGGCTGGGTGGTGGAGTGGTCTACGGTCAATAATCAAATTACGCCCAAAGCCTACTCGACGACAGGCTACGAGTTCGAGTTCGATTCCCAGTGTGAGCACCAAGAGATGTAGCCCCCAATTCGGCACCGGGGGGGTGAACTCTTTTTGTTTTTATATAGTCAACGATCCCAGGCCTCACCGCTCGACACGTGACCTTATATATGGGTGTCCCATAATACTCATCACGAATACCAACCGGTTCACGGGAAGCTGGCTTCGACTTTATTCCCATTCTCGATAGATAATCAACTTTTATTATGTATTTTGATGCCCTATGTGTGACTGCACGACACTTACATGTCACTGACGAGACGTGTTACATGCCTACTCTCTTTCAAAACATGAACACAGCACATTCTTGAGTTTGGAACAAGATGTAAATAGCACAATCGAAATGTGAGCTAGCTGTCTCTGCTGAGTCGGATAACCTCATCTCTAATCATCATGTACGACCCTTTTATCAATTGCACGCGTGCAACGGTCCAGTAAACTGAAATACACAATTCATAGACCACGCAACGTCGTCCACAGTCATCAACCCCGGCCCGGCCCCTGTCCGACTTCCACGCCGCCGTCCAACGGAGCACCGGAACAACGACTCCGCAGTAGCAGTCTACCTCTCCCGGTCCCCACTCATTAAGCGCGGGGAGAGAGATTAGAACATTTAATCAGGGGGGGAGGGGGAGGAACTGCAAAAAGGGAGAGATAATTGATTGCAACGTTGCCATCACACCAAGAGATCACAGCTGTTATGAGCTCGAGCACACTGCCATAGTTCGTTCCATTTGTTGTACGGAACTGCAAGCAGTATCTGGCTAGCCTCGTAACTTCCGAGCGTGTGGCCCAGGAACCGAGTTCCACTCGCGTTGCGATGTTGGTTCCCATCACTATGCCTTTCGTATCTTCAAATGTTTACAATGTTTCCATCACCTGAGGGGTAAGATCCCAACGACGCAGATCCGGCTACTACCTTCTACAATCGCACAGCTCTCATCACAAAGTTATGTCACCATGGTTCGCGCCGGGGGTGTCGCGCAAGCTGGGTTCCCCTCACCAAACATCCCATCCGGCTCCGAGCCCCCGCGCGCCGAGGTCACGTCCCGTCGCGTCATACCCACGATGCTCTGATGATAAGATTGAAATGTCCATTGAAGCCAAGATTCTGCCCTGCCGTACTTATAGAAGGTCTAATCCTGCAATTGGGGAAGGGGAATAGCAACCCAACCCAAACATCGTGACCGAAAGCCATTGATCGACCCTCACGATGCGGTTCCTCGCCACCGTCCTCGTCTCTCTCGCGGCCACAGCGGGAGCAGACTTTCTCCCAGGCCTTCCAACAGCACCCTACACTACAACAGGCGGCACCATCTCCGCCTCTTCTCTCTCCAAGATCATAGTCTCGTCAGCCTACGCAGACTCCGTCGACGACAAAGGCCAAACACTCATCCCGCCAACTCTGCATGCCTTTGCTGCAACCTTCGGAGAAGACCTCGCCTCGTCGCTAAAACTCGATATTCCAATCGAGCTAGGCGATGCCCCGGAGCAAGGAGCCATTTTCCTGACGCTAGCCGACGATGCAAGCCTCTACAAAGATGCTGCTGGGCGCGAGACGTCCGAGGGATACTCTCTCAATGTCACGATCGACGGTGTGCTCATCACAGGTGCCAGCCCGCTGGGCGTGTGGTGGGGTACTCGGACAATCCTACAGCAGCTCATCCTCGGAGACGGGGAGCTGAAGTTGGGGTACGGGACAGATAGCCCCGGATGGGGAACCCGGGGAATGATGGTGAGAGAATCCTTCCGCCCGAGCCGGAGGGCGTATTGCGGGAAACGTGACCGAACCTCGGCCGGATGCCGAAGCGAAGAGAACCGCAAGCTGACTGCCTATGCACTATGTTAGCTCGATATCGCCAGACACTACTACCCAGCCGAATTCCTCATCGAAATGTGCGCTTACATGTCCTTCTTCAAACAAAACACTTTCCAGCTGCACCTCTCAGACAATCTGTACAACAATGTCGCCATCTACTCACGCGAGCGTATGCTTTCACTCTATGCCGCCTTCCGGTTGAATTCCGACGATCCAGCCCTCGAGGGCCTCAATAGGCGCGCAAATGAGAGCTACACGCGGGACGTCTTTGACGACATTCAAGCGAAGTGCGCAGCGCGCGGTGTGACGATTCTGCCGGAGATCGAGGCTCCCGGGCACGCTCTCGTGATTTCGCAGTGGAAGCCCGAGCTGGGATTGTTGAGCGACTTGAGCTTGCTGAATATCTCAAACCCGGAGACGATACCGATGGTGAAGAAGATCTGGGAGATTTTCCTGCCATGGTTCCATACCAAGACGGTCTCGATCGGTGCCGATGAGTATGTCGATCCGACGCTGAGTGAAGAGTAAGTCACGTCGCCCCCGGAAAGTGGCAGTTTCCAAGCATGAGCTCATCATTCAGCGCCCTGGTTGCCGAGTACACGCGATTTGTGGACGAGATGAACGACTACATCACAAGCACATCCGGTAAGAAGGTCAGAATCTGGGGAACTTTTGCGCCGTCAGTCGGCGGAACCGTCAACAAGTCCGTTTCGATTCAGCACTGGGCCAACTTTGAGGCGAACCCGCTCTACGACTTTGTCAACAACGGGTACGAGGTACTCAACTCGGGCGACTACATCTACACGGTTGGAAAGTGGAGCGAGTGGTATGGTGTAAGTAATCGAACGGAGCGGGTTTGTGTTGATGTGATGACCGGACTGACCTGGCGAACAGCATGAACTCAGCTTAGAATTCATCTTTAATGGCTCGCCCGATGGATCACCATTTTCGCCAAGTATATTTGATCGCACAAATGCATCCAACAATGCCGCAAGGAACAGTGCATCGCTCCTGGGCCATATTGCGCCGCAATGGAACGATTTTGGCCCGAATGCAACGACGGTGACGGAGGGATACTACCAGTGGAGGGATGGCCTGCCTGCTCTCGCGGACAAGCAGTGGGGAGGCGAAGTTGCTGAGGCTGATTACCAAGGCCTTTTCTCTGCGTTGCAGCCTCTCGCGCCGGGGCAGAACCTTGATCGAAGAATCGCATCCACCGGATCGACGATCGTTGAATACGACTTCAAGCAGGGACGAGGTAGCAACGGCACAGCTGTTGAAGATTTGTCGGGCAACAACTACCATGCAACCTCGACGTGCGCGATGGGCGATGAAGGTGCCATTCTGGCGTCTGCGTGTAGCATCACGACTCCGCTGACGCAAAAGGGGAGGAATTACACTCTTTCTTTCTCGATCAAGCCCACGTCCAACGCCAAGGGAGCCATCTTCAGCGGTGGAGACAGCGGATTATGGTTTGGCAATGGGACTGTAGACGCCGTCATGCTCTTTTCAGGGGAGAGCACTTACGCGCTCAATTACACGTTCCCCGTGGGGTCGTGGACAAACGCGAGCCTCATTGGCAGGGGGAGGCAGACGTTCTTGGACGTTGGGGACGGCGAGCCCAAGGAGTTTTTGACAATAATGGGCTGGAACGGAGCCCGGTTTGTCTGGCAGCCCATTGCGGTAGAGGCGCCGTTGGCAACAGTCGGAGGCAGTGGATTTGAGGGAGTCATCAGCGGGATGAAGCTGGTTGATCATGCCTAGAATAGCCTTATTGTCGGAGAGGCTTATGCTGACATTTTCTTTAAGCCTCACCAGCTTCGGACTCTTAACCTGCTTTAGATGCTATGGTCCTTGGAGATGGAAATTCGATGTCATGCGGAACGGGGACGACTGAGTCGTACGTCGTGACGTGAATATTGCCCACACTTGCTGTCCACAACCTGTATCCGAGCAAAGCTGAGACTCTGCACTCCGTGGTCGCAGGGCCCAGGGCGTGCTAGCAAATGTGGATGTGAAACTTGGCACCGTCGTCCGTACCATGTGCCAAAACATATTTAGCTAGTTTTAGCGTACGTTATGTCGGTCCGGATGGCGTGTAAACGGCGTCAAGGCAGCGATCCTGCGGGCATTTGACAGATTGTGCCAGAAGGTTCTTTTTTTGCAACGGTTTTTTGATTGTTTTGGCGTGCAGATCTCTGTCGTTGTTTGACCCCCGGCCAAAACACCATAGCGTCAGCGATCTAATATGGTCGATGTCACATTCGAGGCTCGATGTAGTGGCATGGCCGACCCGGGTGACCGATCGGGGTCCTTCGGGGTCTTGCGTCGTGCGTGACTGCCAGGGGCCAGAGGGTAGGACTGAGAGGTTTTGGGCGTTGAAAGCCCCGGCAACGGCAACGGGATGCTCGCCGCAGGGATGACCGACGGGCCAGGGGCTGAATCAGGGTCCAGGACGGGGTTTCCAGTTGCTGGTCGATGGAAAGCTGCCCAACCGTTTAACAGAGCTGCAGATGCAGGGCGTACGGTTTCGATCGATTCTTTCTCAATAACGAGGGCTTTTCGAAATCTCCAAGGACTGGACAATGCCCACTTCCCCCTGGTGCCTTGCACACTTGGCTCGCTGGCGATGCTGACATTGCTCTTTGTGGGACAGCCTGAAGCGGGCGATGGTTTAGTGGCTAGGACACAGGATGACGATGGTTTCGGCCGATGTACGATGGGATTTCACCGTCTCATTGTCTGCTGAATTGCGGAATGTGCATGATTTGGTGCGACGGAAAGGGAACGGATGAGTGCGGAGGTCGTCTGGAGCAACTGGTTCAGGTTGACTCAGATCATATGGTCTCGTATTGATGGGAGGCTGTTGCTGCTGTGGGATAGGAGACGAAGCCAAGATCGATTACGTGTTGGACCGTTGGTCTCGACTCTGACATCAAGGACTGATGGGCCATGGGAGATGGTCGTCGAACATGTGAGGCCATGATTTGTCGGTGATAAAATGAAGGGCGTGTCAGAGCTGCGATTGGAACTTGGAAGATGCATAGGAGGTCCGGAGACACTGGAGTGCTGGAGTACGTACCGAATGTCCTTCAATGTACTTGCCTGACTGTGTGTGCGCCGTTCACGTGCACGGTACGGGATTACAGCATATAAGCGGGGCCAAGCGGGGCAGCTGCCGGTTGGAAACTTGGAATGGGAAAGCAGCAAGTTGAGAAGGAGCAGGGCGATTGACTCGGAGCCCCGCTCTTTCCCTTGTTTGGGTTCGAGTCCCTTGCAAACCATCTTCATGCCCCACTCTTCCGCCTCTTACTTTCCCCGGTCTCCGAGTACGTACCGAGCCACGGGCTTCAGGGCGGATCCGCACTTCGCACTGTACGTATTTGTCTGTCGTCCGCATCCAGGCGCACAATTTTGCTGTATCTTCACAGTGTCTTCTCCTTTCTGCCCATTCCTTCAGAGAGTCCACCATCATTTTTGCCATGCAGATCTCGTCGCATGCTGTGCAGCAAAACGCCTATTGTTGGCTCTTCACCGCTCACCTGGTGGCCCTCTCGAAATCTCCCACGGCTATGGTTCATCGGTCTGCCCTCTCCGATTTTTGTCGATGATCGAGCTGCCCATTCCATTTGCTCCCCCCCGTGGACCTTGGACAGGGGCAAGAGGTGGAATTGGCTTGAGTCTCGACTCTGAAAGTGGCCTGTACTTGTGGGGACAAGGATCAGCCCAAGTTCTCAAGGATCCCGGAGCCAGTCCCGTCATCGACTCTCCTCGCTGTGGTTGGCCTTCCCCCGCCTCGGTTTGCTGCGCACATGGAAGCAAGTGGGCGACGTTCAAGGTCCACGAGACTGCGAGAGTGATAGCGATATGGATGACTAGAGGGAGGGAGTCGAGTCGATCAAGAGAAGAAAGAGGGCAGTATTGAGCGGTGACCGAGGGGAGCGTCCTGGCAGCAACAGCCAAGGCAACGTCCATCCATTCTCCGTTGGTCAATGACAGTCAAGACTCAGACATCAGTTCATCGGCCCGTCGTCAGTGTTGCATGGCACACGACACTGGAAATCCCGAATCCAACCAGTCAGCCAGTAGTCTACGCATACTCCAATCTTGCCCTGGCAGACCAGACGATTACACTTTGCCCATCATCGTTCCAGGCGCCCTCAGATCCCTCTGATCCCTCTGCTCAACTCTGTCTCTTCCGACTAGATTTTCCATAGTCTTTCAGAAAAGGACAAAGGATCAAGGGTCGGTCTGGCCGCCGCCACCATCCCAAAACCATCTGCGCCGTCCCACCATCTCGCCTCGTTAGCCTCCGATCTCTCTTCAGGCGTCAACGTGCAAAACACTTTTCTCAACCTAACCACCACCACCATTAGAGTCTTGTACGGATGGTCTTAGAGCTTAGGGTAACGGACGGATGGGACACACACACACAAATACTGTCCAGAACACACGCGGAAATACACCACCGCCCTTGGATTCCCCTTCCACGTGCGGCGTGCCATCGCGCTAAGGCCGTCCAGACCCCTAAAACATGCAACCGAACAGCAGTCTAGATGGATTGCGACACGCACACCGGTTGGGCATGCATCTGAACTTGCCCTCTAACTACCTTAGCACCTTAGCTGATGCTGCGGAATCCGGCTCAAATGTCGCCAAATTATTGCCCCTCTGCTGCAGAGAGACAAACTACACACTTTCCTCGCCGGCCGCTAAAGTCTAGCGCATCTCAGAATCTCCGAGGGTCCCCCATCAACGCAAAACGGAGCCAAACGAGGGACGCCCCTCCATTCCACATTCCACCGCCAAAACTGCCCACCAACACTCACACACACACGCACCGTGGCAGGCTCTAGGTCTCCAGTTGCCCTTGTGGGAGCCAGTGGGAGGACCTCTGGGAGAACGCCTCGAGGAGGATGCAGAAGCCTGGAACCCCGGTTCCCGTGGGTTGCAATGGCCAATCTCCAAACCGCCCAAAGAACCGGTTTCCCATCCAGGGCAAGGATATGCGCCGCCTTGGCCTGGCCCTGGGGGCCCTGCCTGCACTACCGTCACCCTCAAGTCTTCTCGCTACTGCGCCGCGGTCCCCCCAACCCTCTCGAACAATGCTCATCCCGGCTTCCGGGATCCCTGCTCCACCTCAGCGGGGAGGGGCGGCATTTCAGTCATGCCCGCCGCCTCACCTTTGAAAGCAAGCATGCTTCTTCTCCTTGCTTTGAGGACTTGGATCTGAACTTGATCTGACCTTGCCAACCTTGCCTTACCTCGACCTGAGTTGTTGACGACGACGGACTACGGCTACGTTGTTGACAACGGCAAACAACATTTCCCATCGTTTGTCGTTGCCGTACACTGCATCAAAACACCTTGTATCATGGGCAGGGCCAGCTTCATCATCCCACTCTCCAACAACTTGCATGAAGTATGAACAAGATATCAGAAGGTGCCCGTGAATGGGAGACATTCAAGTGCGCATACCTTCCATCTTCTCGAGCTTTAGCTAGAGGCTCGGGGCACGATGCTTTTGGCTATTCAACAACTGACAGACTCGACTCTCTAGATATGATTCTTTCCACATTCCCAACGCTGTGTTCAACAGTCCCGACCGACCGATCCCCTTCTCATCCATCTCGTCGTCTCCGGATACAGGCCTCACTTCCTTTGCGCAGCTAGGTGCCTTGCGACTAAACGCATCGCGTGCCTTGATCTCGCTATTCGATCGTCAGCATCAATACATCGTCGCCGAGGCTACTCAGTCAATGCCCCTGGCGCCGAATACTAAGTACACGAGGCAAAACCATCTTTGGCTCTGCGGGACAGCTATCCCTCGCGACTTTGGAATTTGCGAGCATGTTTTGATAGGAGCGACTCACGCGGCTTCCAGCAGCCTACACCCGACAGCGCACACCACTGACGAGGATGAACTTCCCGTGTCTGTAGTCCCGGATCTTGCTACTGACCGACGATTCTGTAATCGACCTTACATCGACGCAGCGCCGTACAACCGCTTTTATGCGGGCGTTCCCATCCGGTCTCCCAAAGGTATCAACATTGGCGTGTACTGCATCTTTTCCGACAAGCCCAGGAATGGTCTCGACACCGAGGAGTTACAGTTCATGCGCGAGATTTCTCGGACAGTAATGGAATATCTCGACGCTAGAAGAGTAAATGAAAGCTACCGCCGAAGCGAGCGCATGGTGCAAGGATTGGGAAACTTCATCGAAGGTAGAGACGACCCAGTGCCGACTACAAGAACTACGCCTCGAGCATCTTTGAACGGATTTGAGCTTCCTAGGCTGGCGGTATCACTGCCCGATGCGGATCCGCCGTCACCTAGATCTTCCGAATCCCCTGAGCCCGTCCGCCCGGGCATCAACCCTATCAGAGCAGACTCAAGTGATTCATCTGCCAAAGTCGAATCGAGCGACTCCGTCGAGACGACGGCCACGACTGCGACGGTCGCCACCACTACCTCAAGCACGGCGCCGCCCGACCCGCACTTGACAGAGACCATCAAGATCTTTTCCAGGGCCGCAAATGTGATCAGGAAATCCCTCGAAGTGGACGGCGCCTTATTCCTGGATGCGAGCATCGGCTCTTTTGGGGGCCTTGTGACCGGTCCACGGAGGGCTAGTGAAGTAGCAGACCACACATTTTCTAGCAGCGAGGATAGTCTGTCCGAGAAGTCCGAAGACGTCAACGACAAATGGTGTAAGAGCTTTGGAAGGTCGTCGACGATGGACGACATTGTCAATGGCGTCAGTGCACCACAGCTCAGCCGTTTGACTTTGCGCGAAAAGTTCCTCAGGAAATTGCTCCGTCGATACCCCAACGGCAAGGTTTTCAGCTTCGATGAGATGGGCCAATGGTTGTCCGCCGACTACGAAAGCGATGATGCCGATATCACCCCTACGGAAGAACACGATCTCCCGGTTACGCGCCCTGAGCAAAAAGCAGCACATTCGTACTTTACGAGGCGGAACGAGGCCAAGACCATCATCGACATCTTCCCGGGTGCGAGGAGTGTAGCTGTAGTACCACTATGGGATCCTTCAAAAGAACGATGCTTTGCCGGAGGCTTTGTGTGGAGCAAGAGCGCGGCTCGGATATTGACACCTGCGGCGGACCTGCCTTTCTTGCGAGCATTCGGTATGGTCACCATGTCTGAGGTCATTAGGCTGGATGCAGTTCTGGCAGAGAAGGCAAAGACAGACATTTTGGGCTCCCTCAGCCACGAGCTTCGGTCGCCGCTCCATGGTGTAGTCGCCGCTGCAGAACTTCTTCACGATACCCAGTTGGATGCTTTCCAGGTCGACGTAATCCACACCATTGAGATTTCGGGCAAAACTCTCCTCGACACAATTGACCATGTAGGTTTACAATGACGCTTCCTAAGCCTCACTTGACGTGCTAACTCGACACAGTTGCTTGACTATAGCAAAGTCAACACATACCTCCGAGCTTCAAAGTCCCAGCGGAAGAATAATGGCCCAGGTCGTGGGCTGCGACAAGAAGCATCGGCATCGATCGAATCTGGTATGATGAGCTTGGTTTCTGACGTTCACCTCGACTTGCTCGTAGAGGAGGTCATTGAGAGTGTATTCATCGGCTACAGCTTTCATCACATGGTTGCCAACTCTCTGGCACGTCATGGTGCGTCTTCAGGCCCTCCAACACCGGCCCAAGAGAAGCTGGATGCCATTGCGACATCCGATGGGCTGGGCCACAGGCGGAAACCCTCAGACGCGCCGGCTGCCGCTATGAAGGATGTCAAGATTCTTGTCGACATCGACCCGAACTGCGCGTGGGTAGTCCACACAAATCCGGGCGCCATTCGTCGGATAGTCATGAATCTGTTCGGAAACGCCCTCAAGTACACATCTAAGGGATTCATCAAAGTCCACCTTAGGCAAGAGGAGGTCGTACATAAGACATCCCGGTCGGCATCGATGGTGGTGCTCACCGTCACCGACTCAGGCAAAGGGATTACCGAAGAGTTCTTGCACAACAAGCTCTTTACTCCGTTCTCCCAAGAAGACGCACTCGCACCGGGCACTGGTTTGGGCCTCAGCCTTGTCAGACAGATTGTGGCAGGCCTCGGTGGCACAATCAGTGTGGAGAGTCAGGTCGGCCATGGAACGAGCATCACGGTATCGATGCCACTGGTGCTGTCTCGCAAAGCGAGCAGTAGGGGGCGCAAGTTTTCGGCCGACCTGAATGCCCTGGCCGGAACGCGACTCTCGGTGTGTGGGTTCAGCAGAGGACTTGAAGATTCGGAAGAGCTTCGCGCCGGGGGGCTAGATCTTCCTGTGGAAAGCTTGCCATTCAAGTGGATGGATCTTAAGCTCAACGAGGACAGCCGAACTGCATCCAAGACGGATTTGATGGTTTGCAGTGAGGAGGCTTTTAGACGTCTCGGTCTGTCTGAGACTGGGGGTGTTGATACCCCGCTCGTCGTAGTCTGTGGCAATGCCGAATCTGCCCAGAAGCTGGCGACTTCCTACAGACGCTCCCTTCGACACGACGCTGTCATGGAGTTCATCGCCCAGCCGTAAGTTATCTGGTCCTTTCCAAGAACCGCAAGCTGACCGTGATTCAGAACTGGCCCCAGAAAGGTTGCAAAGGCTTTGGCTTGTGCACTTGATCGCTGGAAGCAAAGACAGCCCACGAAGACGATACCCGTCAGCCCACTGTCGGATGCCTTCCCAGGGCCTGCTCCATCACCACGGGCACTCAAGTCGGACGCTCTGTCGACGAGACCGCGAGCGCAATCCGAATCAGTCAAAATGGTACGGGTGGCCTCGCCAGCTACCGAGATCGTATCTCAGTCACCGGGAGACAGCTGGATTGCCAACACCAGTGATTCCAACTTTACTCTGACGCTCCCCTTCCGCCCAGCTGCGTCAGCAGCGGCGCCGGCTACCTCGACAGCTTCAGCTAGGGGCAACATGAACTCAAGCGTCAGCCCGTCTCCTGGAACCGTTAAGTCACCGCTAGAGTTTCTTTTGGTGGACGATAATCCGATCAATCTCAAGGTTTGTCTACCTATTGGGGACGATGCTAGTACGTTCAAAGGCTTATGGTAGCAGATTCTATCGGCATATATGAAGAGGCTGCAAAAACGACACGCCACTGCTTCAAACGGCCTTGAGGCCCTGCAGACTTACACGTCTAACCCGCAGAGGTTTTGCTGTATTCTCATAGGTATGAGTCAATACGGAGGACGATAGGAAGTAATGGTCACTAATAATGCACAGATATAACGATGCCTGTAATGGACGGGCTTGAAGCTACAAGGCGCATCAGGAAGTTTGAACGGGCACACAACCTCCCACCCGTGACAGTTATTGCCATCACGAGTCTGGGATCGGCGGGCGCCCGACAGGAGGGCTTCGCAAGCGGAATGGATTTATTCTTGACACGACCAGTGACCATGACAGAACTGGTCAAAATATTGAAACAGAGGAAATTAGTGGACGAGGCGGCGGAAAAAGAGGTCCTATCTTAAAATGGGGAAAGGGACCTCAGGCGTTGTAGACGGGCTTGACTGGTGCATTGGGGCGGTCGTATCGCTGTTGCATGGGATTTCTTTTTCTTGTTGTTTGGTCAAGATTTGCAAGGCGTTTAGGAGGTACACGATTTGATGGATTGGTCCTGCATAGGACCTAGAAGCGCTCAAAAAGGGGGGATCCCTCTTTCACGGCCACTGGTACGAACAAGTTTGACGAGGGTTACGGCGCCGTTTGGAGGTATTACAGTTGACGATTGGTACCAGGATAGGACAGGAATGCTTGGTACGCAGGTAGTCGAAATCAACCGCCGGCTCAGCGCGTCGGCATGAATATTCTGAACGTTGTGTGACCTTGGGAGTCATGAGCACTTCAGTGTGTCTAGCGGCCCTGGGTGAACAATATCGCAGGATCGCATTCGTGCACAATGGCGTCCTATCGACATTGTTGGTATTTGACAACCACTAATAAAGTATCATTCTGAATGGAGAGATGATCAGATAGCGCCAAATTGCCCTTGGTCTGAGAAGCGCAGGATTGCGTCAAGATGTAAAATGTATTCTTCGAAGATTCCTTCTAGCCTGGTGTTTTTTTTGGCATTTGCTAGGACCGTGTCAGTCATCGGGAGGTGCCGATGGCTGTTTTTTTCTGACAGCTTGCTGTCTAATTATGAAAATAAT